TCTTGTAACCCCAAAAAATCAGATGGACTGTTCCAACATCAGGTGAGCTGCAGCTGACAGGTCCTCTGGTTTTTTGCCTAAGGTTTTTGTTTTTTCCCAACATTGTTGGTGGCAGCCGTGCGGCCAACAAAGTAGACTAGCTGTCGATGGCTGGTCCGAGTCTGGCTGCAACCACATGTGGGGAATGCATCCACTTGTTGCCCCTTTTGCTGACTGCCAGGAAATCACCTGTCTTATAGCCAGTGATCAGTCTTTCCTCAAAATCTTGTGCAAATCTTAAGATCTGAAGTTGTCAAAAACTGGCGCTTGGTCAGTGATTTCTGGTGTCAGACACAGACAAAAAAAGTAGTCCTTTCACATTGGAATGATACGTGTCCCGTCGCCATTATTGTTTAACAGAATCCAGCAGCATCATGGGACAACAATGGAAGTTAAGGAAGCTGAAGTCCAAGTATGGCGGGTGGGAGGGGTGGCGGATGGGTCCAACAACCACAGACTTTCAGTCAGGAGGTCTGTGCTCACTTCCTGTAAGATTGTAAAGCCAAACCCTGTTCTTTTTTCCTAAACCCAACCATGTGTGTGTGTTGGCTAAACGTAACCACATGTGTGTTGTTGAAGAAAAAAAAAAAACATCAGTTGGTGGTGTTGTACTGACATAGTGCTTTTATTTTGAAAGAGAATGTATGCAAACTGTACATTTCCTGTGAAAACAGAAGTGTATTTTGAAAACAGACAATGCATGTAACAGGCTGAAGTTGACACGGCGTCCCAGAACGTCAACAACCAACACACCCAGGGTACCTTGGACGTCATATGTGGACGTGGAAAGTCCATGACCAAACGTGGACATGTGACGCGGTCATGTGATGTGATGGCTTTTGCCACGTCCCTAATTTTAGACTCTGAGTGCAAAAACTGTGGCTATCAAACAGTGGGGACATTCTTGTGGACTGACCGACAGTCAATCGATGGACCAAATGATAGAGTGACTTAAGGAGCTGTTGCAAGCTAAAAGAACTGTCAGCCTCTGGTGTCCAGCAGACTTTGGCCCACTGGTTAGACTGGTACAGATTGTTTTTTGCGTCTGCTGTGGAGCTGTGGCACGAAATGCGTCGGTGTCCGGTGTTTGGCAGGGTGAGAGGCTTCATGTCTGATAAGAAGTTGGTTCTTTGTTGTCTTTGTAATAATTGAATTGAGACTTAGCCTCGTAGGAACTTAACAAACAGTGACAACACTGACAGCAGCTGCAGTTCGCTTTGTTCTGTCACTGGTGTCATTGGTCTGTCACTGGCGTTGTTATTCATGCCGACAGCTTTGTAAGAACTTGTCTTCTTCTGTTGTTGGAAAAAAAATAATAACCCAGAATAAACTCGGGTGTCTGCTGTGACACCAGCAGCTACAGCTTGTATTAGTTTGTCACTGGCGTCATTCTTCTGTCACTGGTGCTATCACTCATTCAGGGGGATGATCCGCTATCATCGCAGCTGTTTGCTTGTTGTTGTTGTTGTTGTTGTTGGATGAATACAAGCTACAACAAAAGGCTGCAGAGGATTGGTGGATAATCCTTGTGTCACATCAGCTGCCGTTTATCACCCGTGTCTTTATTTTATCGTTTGTTCTGCCACTTAAAAAGATGTTTCTATTATTGGACAGTTTTTTTTCCTGCAGTGAAAATTCAGCATCGTCTGAACCCACAGATATTATATGTGGAACCTCATTACTGAGCGCCAGCAGCTCTTAATGTCAGCGCTCTGTGACTGCTGCCATCACTCACAGGCTTGTTTGTCTCCCAGTCTTATTTGTGCAAAGAAATAAATTAATGCAGACTGAAGTAAACACACGGAGAGGACGAGTCTTTGCTGATGTGTCACTGGTGTCACCACTCCCTGCAGATACTGACAGATACAGCAGAGTGGAAGTCTACTGATGACTCATCAATTCAACGTATCCTCATACAAAGGTTCAGATGATATCCTGTGCATTAGCAAATGATGTTACAAACTTAACGTGAAGTTACTGTGGTTAGGAGCAGGAATTAAAACATGGTGACAATGTGCCGTGAATGACTCTCAACATTTGGCTCCAATAATCTCCTGGAGAAAATCGTGGGGTAAAGTCCTGTGTTTTGTGACCATCCATCACCCAACCTGCCGCCTTATGAGACTGCTCCCTGCTTAATTCTTTGCTCCCGTCAGAGCCTCATTCACATGATCACAGCCTTCCAAATGACGTGGGTTATACACAAATTACTGGCTCATCAGTGCAGTATGTAGGAGTTTTGGTGCATTACTTCTCGTAGGAAACGTATGAACAGTGCGTGACAACAGTCTGATCTGCAGGCCCATATGGAGTCTGCACACGCAGATTTTCCTCAGATTTTAGGAATAAAGATGCTGCTTCTAAAATCCAGGATGTTGTCACTGTCTCCTCCACCTCCTCGTGCTTGTGTGTGACAGTCGTGTGTTGTATTTAGTCAGGATTAAAATCAAAGTTAGTGGTGTCGTGAGAAAAAAAGTCAAAACTCAGATCTGCTGTTCAAAGATGTTTGTTCTCTCTGCTCCATATTGAAGCTTCAGTTTGTTGATCGACTTATCCATCCATCCATCCATCCATTCTCTAACCACTTGAGGGTCGCAGGGTGCTGGAGCGTGTCCCAGCTGTCACTGGGTGAGAGGTCGCCAGACTATCACAGGGCTGACACACAGAGACAGACAACCATTCACACTCACATTCACACCTACGGACATTTTAGAGTCACCAATTAACCTGCATGTCTTTGGACTGTGGGAGGAAGCAGGAGCACCTGGAGAAAACCCACGCTGACACGGGGAGAACATGCAGACTCTGCACAGAGGGGCTCCCACACCTTCCACACCTGGGATCGAACCAGCTGCGAGGCGACAGTGCTAACCACCACACCACTGTGCCGCCCTCAACTTTACCAAGAATGTTTAAATGTTTTCTTGAAGTTTTCAGGATTAAATCAAATTTCTGATTCAAAGTTTCTTCTGAAATCTACTCAGTAGTTCTTTAAACCTGCCTGAGATCATTTTAGCTTGTAATGTATTGTGTGAAATTATTAAATTTTTTATCATAAATGAATATTGTTTATCATATGCAAAAAACAAACAAAAAAACATACCACAGATTTTCATTTTGGATCAGCGCTGAAATCAATTTAAAAAAAATCCTCAGTTTCTGTTTGGGCCTGCTGATCACTTAGGGCTGTACACATGCTACTTGGAAAACGTGAGGTCAGGCGCTGGGCTCTACTGTTGTGTCTTTTCTGTTCCAGCTCTCAAGAGCGCGGCGGCAGGTTGTGTCTGAGGTTGCTGAGCAACCTCAACAAGCACTGAGATCCTGAGTGCAGAGCTGATCTACTTCCTGTGTGTCTGTGGGACAGATGTGACGCTCTGACAGCTCTGCTTTAACATGATCAACTTCTCCTCCATATTTATCACACACTGATATTTACTGAAGAAGGAAAGATGTCTGTCAACTGTGATTGGTCGGTCTTCGTCACATGACGTGCGGTGGATGCCTGCTGCATGTCTACATTGAAAACGATTAATTTGAGGGTGCAAAAAACGCGGCATGTGTACGGCCCCTCTGACAGTGTAGTGACAGGCAGGAAGACATTATTCTTATTCTTTCTAAATGATGAACAGGACAAAATCTGGGATTTATATTAAGGTTATGAGTCTACATATTGTTTGATCTTTAAAATAAAATAATACACAATATATTGTATTTGATGTATTTGCTTCCTTACCTAGAGTCAGATGAGCAGACCGATATCACTCACATGACTGTGTGTTAAGTACAGAGCTGGAGCTGAAAGAATAAACCTACCAGCACCTCTGATGCTCAAAGTTTATCTCCATATGCAACCACAGACATGAGAGTGGGATCAATCTTCCCACATAACTGTCTGCTACCTAGCATCACCGCCTTGCAGTTGTATTCCTCCACAAACCAGTCAAGTCGCAGTTTCCCTCCATGTCCGTCCAGACTCACATGAAGCCGTGACAGTTCTTCAAACACAGATGCTGCTGTAAAGACTCTAAAACATGGATGCTTCACACACAGAAGATCTATACAATCAGCACAGTTTCAAGATTAGAGTCACCAATTCAGTATCTGACCAAATGTCTCCCCTTCTGTTCCTGAGATATGACGTTAAAACATGATGATGTCACAGTCAAGCTGACCTTTGACCTTTCGACCTTCATTATTTTATCCTGTTAGACATTTGTGTCAAGTTTGGTCAGAATTAGAGAATGAATTCTTCAGTTGTGTGAGGTCACACTGACCTTTGACCACCAAAATCTGATCAGTTAATTGTGAAGTCCAAGTGGACGCTTGTGTCAAATTTGAAGACATTCTCTCCAGGTGTTGTTGAGACATCACGTTCATATGAATGAGACAAATGTATGTACATACAGATGGACAGACAATCTGAAAACATTATGCCACCACAGCCTCGTCTATCACCAGCACAGAGGCAGAATAAGCTGCAGTTAAACACACAGACAGAGAGTGAAAGTGACAAGTGATGATAAGATAAGTTAATCCTAAGTGATGACTGAGAGGGATTACTTGTGATTAAGTCTATACATTCGTGTTTTAGGGAAAATCCTGCGAGCTCATCTTTAATGTGTTCATTGTCTAGAACAGTTAATGTAAGGACAGTAGGTCTGACAAAACAATAAATAAATACAAATCTGACTTCAAAAGCTTTAAAGTGATATAAACTGCTCCACAGGTCGGTCCCACAAACTACAGGACGATGTGTTCTTGTTCATGTGAACCAGAAAACAGACGCACAGACGGAGTTCTGACAGCAGCACGTGTAAAACCTCAAACAAACACAATGACCTGGTCTCCGTCTGACTCATCTCAGCGTTACGACACACATCAAAAAGACTTTTGAAGATTGAAATCGATTATCTTGTTCACACTCGTCTCCGTGTGACTGTCAGAGGTCAGCTGGTACTCACTCAGGCAGACGTTGTCGTGGAAGAACGTGAGGAAGTCGTTGCATTGTTCCCTGTGGTTGCCGCTGGCTGCGCAGGAGCACCACGGCCCCACGTTGGACGTGGAGTTGTCCAGGTAGTTTGGAGTTATTGTGCTTCCTGTAGAGACATAGAGGGGGGGTGACATCATCATCATCATCATCATGTTCACAACACAATGATCGAATCTGAGCATGAAAAGAATTTTTTTAATTTTTAATTTTTTTTTTATTCTGTCCTGTCTTGATTTTATCAACAGCCATCTACAGTTTCAACCTGTCACAGACCAGACAGACATCACTTCCTGTTTCTGTTTCAAAATAAAAGCTCCCCGACAACATTCCTGTGGACAGAATCCCTTCATTTGTTAACAGGAGGCTTTTTATTTTTATTTATAAATATTATAAATAAAATAATATTTGTAGGATGTTGTTGATGATGCAGCAGCTGCACGGCTCTATGAATATGTCTCAGCTGTCAGTCGTGGAAATACAGAAGTTACAGCAGCAACTCATCTCGTCGTGACACTTTGGTCTGAACTGGACCTGGAACGAGGTCGTTTGGACGGATTTTACTTTTAAACTGAGGGGAAAAACATCGGTTTACAAAAATATCTGGGTACATACAGACAGAGACTGAGTGGCAGATGAGTTCTGGAGGCAGCCTGGTGATTAAATGTCAACTGGTTTAATCCCAGTTGCTGACAGGGCCCGATGTAACTGAGTGTTGTCTGGATACATAACTGAACGGAAGCTGTGCTAAAAATATCTGTGATATCTGGTAAACAGGCAATTATTTCAGCCTGTATTGATCATAAATATGCACACACAGAGACACAGAGCTGTTTGTGTGTGCAGCGTCCTCTTGATCTCTGAGCCGTTTAAAGCTCCGACACATCAGATCCAAACAGCAACTAAAGCAGCATTTGTTTGTCTCCTACATGAATATCCAGCGGCCGGCAGCTCAGTGGACTCTGACGAGTGCAGCGACCTGCAGCAGAGTCCAGCCACCATCACACAGGTCTCTCAGATGTCTTCTTTTTATTCTCCTCTGCCTTTGGAGCCTTTCAGCAGGAAGTGATTGGAAGTCATTCTCCAGGAAGGGTAATATCGCCTTGTAGCTTGTATTTTTTTTTTTTTTTTTTAAAGAGGTGGGAAATAGAATTGCTGCACTTTGAGGCAGTGTGGCGAAAAAAGTTTTGATTTACCTCCATTGATTTTCTGGGTCCCAGACTTCCAAACAACAACACCTCAGAGTCTCACTTCTACTTCAGTTGTCTAGAATGGCCAATCACTGCAGCACACCTCTCTGTCTCTGTCTGTCTTTATCTGTCTCTCTCAGTCCCTGCGACTACACAAACTAAACAAGCTTTCTTCCTGCAGCAGCAGCAGCAGCAGCAGCAGTTCAGAGCTGCATTGTTGTCCTGTAATGACATGTTTAGACTGAGTGCTTTTTAACAACCTTTTGTGCATTACATGATCTTTTGTTAAGTTTTTATCTAAAGTACAATAAGCCGTGCTCTACGCCTCTGCCTGCTCCCACTCATCGTCAAGTCAGGGATAATTCTCTCAAAACAGCGGTCAATAGTTGTAATTGCACTACTTATAATGCCAACGACTTGGCCGGGCATGCTGCAGCCACATTAATCAGCGCTCCATCGATTGTTGGAGCACGCCTCTCATCACAATTCATTCTTTTGAATCCTGCTCAGTGCTCCTGTCTGCTCCCCGCCTTCCTCCCTCTAAAACCTGTTTGTTCCTGATCCATCACAGAAAGAAGCCGAGCCGGCACACAGAGATTTAGTTCTTACCTATCAGGCCGGTGTACGCAAGTAGACATGCTCCGTAGTTCTCCTGCTTGCAGCCGCTGGCGCTCTGCTCCGAGGGTTGGCAATCATACTGGAACTGTGCCCAGCGAGACCTGTGGGAGCAATAACACGCCATCCATCATTTACTCCTGCTTGGCGGCTGCACACAGCGTGTCACCGAGGGACGGCCGCCACCGGTGCCTTCTGTCAGCGACAGGATGTGGATCTGAACCCCACAACGCTCATCTACCTGTCTGTGCTCAGGGGGTCGTAGAGGGGGACACTGGGACTGATTACACAGGGCCCCTGTGGGAGGGAGGGAGCGGGGCCCAAAGAGCCTGGAATAAAAAGTCTTTATTTCAAAGTAATTAAATTAATTAGTGCCACAACTAAATTAAAACTGGCTGAATAAATCAGCTGAAAGACTGAACTTTGTTTAAAAACAATGAACGCTCACTGAGGCCTCTCTCAGCCCTTTAGGGACTCTTGGTTATTTATTGTGGGGTAAAAAAGGAGGCAGGTCAAATTATTTTTTTTGGCACTGGGGAGGAACTTATCTTTTTTATTTTGGCTGTATTTTTTATTTATTTTACAGCAGATTTTGCAAAAAAACAAGCCTTCCAATTTTTGATGATAAATTTTGGCATTTATTTTATTGCCGATCTCATCGCTAACATGCTTTCACGATGGGCCCCAGTGCAAGATATCGTGCATGTATTATCTTAACACAGAGACTTGACATTGAGCGACATCAACATACATATTACCCAGAAATCATCACTGCATATCTGACAAAAATGTCAAAGAAAGTAAGAACTGAATCATTTAATTAAATACTTTTTAAAGTATATTTAAAGATTTTGGAGCTTATGTAGAAAAAGCACATAATTTTGTTTTAGATAGCGGCTGACTATTTAAAAAAGTATAAAGTATAATAAAATAAACCATGATGCAGATGGGTTTGACTTCTTAAAGTGGAAATGAAGCAGTCATTCAAGTTAATGTGGGTTAACGGAACCAACCAACCTCTTTACGTAGGCAGTGACTTCACTTCAAAATGGCGACGCACTAGCTAGATAGTTAGGTAGAAATTACGAAAATAAATTGGTCATGTCTGTGGTTTTAACATCTTTTTAAAATCAAATTTTAGGCAAGGTGTTTTTTTTTAATTTATTTCTGCACAACCAGTGCCAAAACATGCATGTTTCATTTCCACTTTAAGGACATATATAGCAAATATGTTTTAAATTAGGAACATTCATTTTTATCATTCCTCTTTGAACACAGGTTAATATTCGAGGTGGCCCTCTCTCTCTACGGGCCCCTCCACCCCACGGGGCCTGGTGCAACTGCACTGTCTATTTACACCCCTACTCCAGACCTTTGAATGAGTTTGGAAGACATGTTCTGTTTAAAAAAAACACACCAAAATGACATCATTTATCACGGCCAGAGACAGAGGTTAACATTGGATTTTTATACTTTTACAACTTGAACACATCGTGTGTAACAAATGCTCCCGTCAGAGAAGCTTAAAAAAGTGATATTCCATCAAAATCACTGTAGATGGTCGCGTTTCATATTAACTGTAATGCAGCCTTTCAAAGAAAACACGCCTTCCAAATTCTGTTGATTTGCCTTCAATTTTTTGGTGATAGATTTTGCATTTTACCACCGACTGAGAAAACATGTTTTCCTGACCCTCACACTGGTTTTTAAGCCATGTGCTCTTTAAAAATTGCCCAAATTACAGTACAGCACAGCCAGGAACTGGCTTCATATTTATGTTACTGCAGATCTTTAAAGAAAACGTGTCTTCCAGACCCTTGCATGTGTTCACACTGTTTGAAAAGTCTCTTTAAAGGAAATGGCCACTTCAGAATGAAAACACAGACAGTACTTACTGACCCTCATGCCCACAAGAAGTCCAGTATAGTTTTTTAATCCACAAAACTCATTTGGGGTATCAGTGGATAACAGCTAGCAGGAATAACAGCTACACTTGAAGTGCATGGAACCCACATTTTGAAAATGTAATAAAACTCTGCTAATGCGGTTCAAAAACATCAGAACAGCTCGTCCGTCGTAATCAAAGTGCCCTGAAGCCGCGGATTGCAACACTGACTTGAAAAGACGTAATTTACTCCACTTTTATAGCATCATTTCTCACCGTGGTCAACACATGGCAACTCGCGCGAGACTAGCTGCTGGCTAGTGGTGGTGCTAGTTCTCGAGTCTTGCGCAAGTTGCCATGTAAACACAGCAGGACAGTCGACGTTTTTGAAATGCATTAGCGGAGTTTTATTACATTTTCAAAATGTGGGTTCCATGCACTTCAAGTGTAGCTGTTATTCCTGCTAGCTGTTATCCTCCAATACCCCGAACTTGTTTTGTGGATTAAAAAACTACACTGGACTTCTTGTCGACATGAGGGTCAGTAAGTACTGTCTGTGTTTTCATTCTGAAGTGGCCATTTCCTTTAAAGGTACAAAACAGTTGAGTCCTCCTGCACTAGGGTTTGTCTCTAAACGCAGATAGAGCAGAGTGAGCTGCTGCTGGAGCACCAACGTACACCATCATGTCTTTACCCAACAAAGAGAAATCAGGGTTCAAAAACAGAAAAGAAAGAAAGCAAACTGACTTTGTAAAATAACATCAAAGGTGTGTGTGAGAGAGACATGGATCAGGAGAGGAGGGGCGGGGGGCCCTCAGAGACTGCTGACAGCCCAGAGTTTGCTGCTACGCCCCTGTCTATCCTCCTCCATCTCCCTCCATCCTTCAGGATGCTCCGCTCTGCAGCTCCTCAGCCTCCTCTCCAGTCACCCCTGGTGACATTCATCCCTCTTTTTCTTTCCTCCCCACTTTTCCCAGAGATCCCTGGCCGGCTGCCAGGCCGTAAAGAGTCAATGAGGGGCAAAGATAGGCCTTGGCTCTGCTCTCTAAATACCGTGGGCGCTGTCTGGCTGGCAGGCCTGGCCGCAAGGAGATTAGACAAATATGGATCTTCCATATAAATACTTCCTCCCACAGCCGCTCTGCCTTCCCTCCTTCACCTTTCCTGCCAGCCGCCCAGACATCTAGCCTTATCATCATCATCGCACAAGGCTATCGCGGCCATCATATCGCATCAGCGGCCCCCGTCGACTGGCATTTGCAACGGGATCCCCTCAGGGCGCCACAGCTCCCCGCTCTCCCCTCGTTTGTCATGTCGTTGTAATGATGTGCGTAAAACTCATAGGCCGCGCGCTAAGTGAAGGCATCCTCTGCAGGCGGCCGCTTAATGCCAGCTGACTGGTGCGGGATTGGAGGGCTGCGCCGAGGCCTTGAGAGGCTCCATCCATCGGGGCGGCGGCGGAGGAGAATAATGCCTGATCGATAGCCGTGACAGATGAAGCCCTTTGTCTTCCTGACATTTGAAGAGGAACTAGATTAAACGCTGGCCACCATTGGCTGTCAGAGAGCAGGCTGACTGGATGGGTATGAGGACTCCATGTTTGCAGTCTGCTGATTGAGAGAGAGACTCCCTCTGAATTTTAACCACTTCATCAGACATTGTTAGTTTCTGATTGGATGTTGACAATCAATTTAAATCTGAATGTAATCTTGGTTTCATCAGGGACTGAACGCAGAATAAATTCACTCATTCAGACAACTTATCTCCCGCAGAGGGTCACTCCTCTCATGCTGATGATGGTGATGATGGTGATGATGGTGATGATGTCACGACCCTACACTGACAAATATTTTCTGAGCTCTCTGGCAGAGAGTCGTGTGTGAATCCCGACTGATAACGGCCGCTCCAATAATGGCTCTGTCCCACGACTGCTTCCTGCCTGGCTGCCATTAAATTCTGCCTTCACAGAATGAATGCAGAATTTAATTGAACTAATCAAACACAGTTAATGAGTGTAACAATTGAATTAATTAAACACAGCTGACTAATTAAATCTAAATGAACATATCATAGCAGCCACACTGATCCTCCAAGACACACAATGCCATTTACTGTCCTGAGGGGAAGTCGTTGTGCGAGGACGCCGCGTCAACAGAGCGCCTCACACTGAACACAACAAGGTGACGACACCGACACGTCTCACAGGTCATCGTTTCTCTCTAAAACATGATTTCATTAGAAACCCAGGTCAAAGTTGAGGAGCTGATTGATGGAAGGTACCTGGCACCTGGAGACTCACAGCAGCATCCCTCTCTGAAGAAGAGGAGTTGAACCTTCATCAGGACTCATCTACTGATCCGTGCACAGAAACTAACTCAGGCTCTGATCACACAGAAAGTGTTTTGCAGGGTGTGAACACACCGCACGACTTTTTTCTGTTTTTAAGTGATACCACTGGTTAAAAAAAAAAAAAAAAAAAAAAACACTTGCTGTGTGTTTTATTGTTGCCAGGCAACTGTCAGTAAGCACTTTGTTGGGCACAGAGAGATCTGTGTGTGTGTAGCCTACATGAGACCAGAGTCCTGCACCAGGACAGGTACCCAACAGTGTAACAAGTACATATATATGTGTATTCATAATAAATATATGTAGCTATATATAAATTCACTTTGTTACTGTACCTGAGTCTTTTTGAGAGTCTCTTTACTTTAGTTTTTATTTTTCTCTCAACTTTAATATTAACTCCAATAAATTTCCCCTGAGCTTCTTTGTTACCTGCTGTAAAATAAGGAAGGAAGGGAGACAGGAAGGAGAGAGAAAGGAGAGAGGGAGAAAGGAGGGAAGGAAGGAAGGGAGAAAGGAAGGAAGGAAGGAAGAGAGGAAGGAGGTAGAAAGGAAGGTGAAAGGTAAGGAAGGGAGAAAGGGAAAAAAGAAGGAAGGGAGAAAGGATGGAGGGAAGAAAGGGAGAGAGGAAGGAAGGGAGAAATGAAGGAAAGGAGAAGGGAAGGTGACAGGTAAGAAAGGGAGACAGGAAGGAAGGGAGAAAGGAGGCAAGAAAGGGAGAGAAGAAGAAAGAGAGGGAGGAAGAGAGGGTGGGAGGAAGGTGCATTATGTGACTTGCTCACTAGCTAAGTTGTCATCATCTAGAAGAGACCAAGGCTTCTGGTGTCAGGTAGAGTCCACGTTGCTGTTGTCACCAGGACGGCGTTACCAGCTGATCACTGAATGAGCGGCGCCGCTAGCTAACGTTAGCTCCCACCTGACCCGGGTGGCTGAGGAACCAGTGGAGACTGAAGGTCGGGTAGCGGACATGTTTCTACCTCTAAACTGACCGTCTGTCAGCAGAACAACTGACAATAAAAAAATGAAAGTTGAAACTTCCGTCACCTCTGAACGGACGAAGCTTTGATACATGTCACTGAGTCAACGGAGCGCCGGACCAAAAGGAGAGGCCTGTTGTGTTTCATGTCATTCTGTGTTTTTGTCCTAAATGAACCAGTCAGTCTGTTCACGTCTGTTAACGTCTGTTCACGTGTGTTCACGTCTGTTAACGTCTGTTCATGTGTGTTCACGTCTGTTAATGTATGTTCACGTGTGTCCACGTGTGTTCACGTCTGTTAACATCTGTTCACGTGTGTTAACGTCTGTTCACGTGTGTTCACGTCTGTTCATGTGTGTTCACGTCTGTTAACATCTGTTCACGTGTGTTAACATCTGTTCACGTGTGTTCACGTCTGTTCATGTGTGTTCACGTCTGTTAACGTATATTAGGCTGACCAAACGTCCTCTTTTGCCCAGACATGTCCACTTTTCACGTCCCGTCCGGGGCGTCCGGGGGGGGGGTTTATAAACTGATGATAATGTCCGGTTTTCCGTGTGTGTGTGTGTGTGTGTGTGTGTGTGTTAGAGTGCGGCACGGGCAGCATATTTCTGTCCGAACCCGAACCGAGCCCGACATTATTTAATGACCAAAGCACTGACTTTGTGTCACACAGTTGTTACGGTTACAGGCTATTTAAGAGGCCGGGCGTGCTCAGTGGAGAGGGAGACCTCTGTGTTTGAGACGGGAGCGGGAGGCGGGAGGTCTGACGCTTCTAGCGAGAGGAGAGGGAGAAATAAAACAAAATAAGATAAAATAGGAAAAACCTGTATCCCTCTTTTATTTTATTTTCAACATTTAATCAAGACAGAGGAGGGAGGCTGGAGGTCCAAGACTTCCAGAGAGGAGAGAGGTAGAAACAAACAGCCAATGTGTGTCTGTGTGTGTTATGTTCAGGTGTTGTCACGTAAATACCAGTGCCCAAGCAATAAACAGGACAGACAATAGGATTTTATTTATTTTTACACTACATTTTTACTGAAAGCTGACCGAATCCGACTCGAGCCCGAATACAATTTATATAGGCTAGCTATAACGGGTCGGGCCAGGTTTGGTCAAAAATGTAGCTCTTCATTTTTGACCAAAACTGTTCATGTCTGTTCACGTCTGTTCACGTCTGTTCATGTGTGTTCACGTGTGTTCATGTCTGTTAACGTCTGTTCACGTGTGTTCACGTGTGTTCACATCTGTTAACGTCTGTTCACGTCTGTTAACGTCTGTTAATGTCTGTTCACGTGTGTTAACGTCTGTTAACGTCTGTTCACGTCTGTTAACGTCTGTTAACGTCTGTTCACGTGTGTTCACGTCTGTTAACGTCTGTTCACGTGTGTTCACGTCTGTTAACGTCTGTTCACGTGTGCTCACGTCTGTTAACGTCTGTTCACGTCTGTTAACGTCTGTTCACGTATGTTAACATCTGTTCACGTCTGTTAACGTCTGTTAACATTTGTTCACGTCGTCTGTTCACGTCTGTCGGCCTGTTGGAAGCAGCATTAACTCACAGTGACGTCTCTAACTGAGGGACTTCCTGTAAGCGCCCTGTGTTGACTGTGTTGTTTCCCGGTGTGTATAATTGAGCTGCTGCGTCTCTCACAGAGTCCTCAGGTTTACTCAGGTCAACTGTGGACAATCTGTCCGGTGAGGAAGAGCAGAGAGCCAAAGTAAACACGTGTCTGGTGAAGCTGGTCAAACATCTAACAAGACAAAGAGAGTCGGACAGTTTTCTCAGGAGCTGGAAGATCAAACAACACGCTGGACGTGTCAGTAACCTCCGGCAGGTGTCGGCTAACAAGTTAAACATAAAACCCGATAAGCTGATAGTGTGTGTATCAAAGCTTGTTTCATTTCTGTGGGAGTCTATTTTCTTCCTCTAACCTTCAAAAAAATCTATTCTAGCTTTAAATCTTTGACATCAGAGCTTGGGAGTAGCCCTTGAACACACCACGACTTTCTGAATCAATCAGTGTTTGCTGTCATGGATTCCTTATTTCCTCTCCTCGCCGACCTATTTAAGTCTCGAGTCACTATGAATTCTATTTTATAACTGAGAGGAGACGAAGACACAAAAAGTGTCTGAGTAATATCTAATAACTGGTGAGCGCTGAAAAAGGTTCAATGTTAATGAAACGTGTACATGATGTGAGAGAAATCATGTGAAGAACCTTTGTGATCCGTAAACCGCCGCTGCACACGATCAGCTCAGTGAGTCGAGTGAAGCCGACTCAGGAAGTGAAGTGGAAAACGCCCCTGGCAGCAGGAAGCGTGTAAGACAACGTCTCTAATTTTACCTGCACACGTAGTCGGCCTTGCAGATGCGCAGCTGGGCCAAACAGTTGGGCTTGTCCTTGTCCTCGTAGGAGCAGGACGGCACGATGGTTTGCCGGCGGCGCTCTGCGCAGGCCGTGTCGGTGCAGGGACAGAACAGCAGCTCGTGGGTGTAGTCGGGTGGAACGCGGTCGAAGAACTTCCTCAGCGCCTTGTTGCACTTGGGTCGGTTGCACGGCCCCGAGCGGGCCGACGGCTGGATGCAGGACGACACGTACTCCGTGCGGAGCTTCTGACATGTCTCGTCGATGTTACACGCCTTGGCGGCATCCAGGCAGCGGTTCACCGTCGTCACTTCAGACTCTGGAAGGAGAAGAAGACACAAACGGTGAGAGTGTTTCATCCCTCTGTGTGTGGTTTGAGAAAATCAAATCCCAGGCAATGTTTACCAATGATTCTGAGGCCTGATTGAGGCGCCGCTCTCACCTCGCCGCTCTGATGTTGCATTGACAGACGGAAAAAAGCAACGTGTGTGTTGAAGTACAAACTAAACCAAAATGATGATTATATGTAGCGGCCCCCTGCAATGAATAGAACATGACTGGTGTTTAAATGTTGCATGAGCCCGGGCGCTGGATGTGTTTCAGCTGAGGCCTAATGGCTGAATATTTCATTCTGCCGGGTTAATGCGGAGTGGCAGTGCTGAAAAAAGCGGCTCCTCCGTCTCTCCAACCGCACAACAAGGCCTGTAATTACTGCTCCTTCCCGTTCATCCATCTATCCATCTTCACAACACTCCCTGCCTGCAGCTGGTCCATCCCTCACTCACCTGACTCCCTCCATCCCTCGCCATCTTCCTCCCTCGCTGTGCGCCTGCCACTCTCAGCCCTGCCATTACCCCCCGCTCCATCTGTCTCCTCCCTCCCTCCATTCAGCTCCGCCATCCCTCCTTCCTCAACTTTGTCTGTCTCTGCCTCCCTAAGCGTCCACGCTCCCTCTGACTTCCGCAGTAATGAGCCACCTCTGTGGAGGCAGCAGAGAGCCCCTTTCATACCCGTCTTTTTTTGGCCGCATTATTTCCTGATCCATCATCATGTGCATTTTTTCCCCCCCGAGCGACCTCACAGTCAATACGGCCATGATGACGTTCAGCTCCTGTGGCAGAAAACGCCGCTCATTAGTTTGTAAACTGCCTGTACTTGTGTCTCCTGGTGAATTCGGCTCTCACCAAGCTGTCATATAAAATATGAATGGCCTTGGAGAGCAGGCTAACAACCCATCACAAAGAGCAGGTTATTCCCAACCTAAGAGCGAAGCAGGCGGGCGGAGGACGAGGACCTGATGGAGCTCCAGGTCGGGATGACTAATTGCATCCAGCGACCACATGTGCAGAAAACTAAATCAGCTTTCATGTGAGATCCTTGTTGTTATGTTGCTTTTTAAATCCATTATGTATTGAGGAGACCTGCTGAACATGTTCCCTCTGATTCAGGAACATCCTGCTTCACATTCAGGCCTCACACACACCCACACCTCAGACCTGCCCAGTAAAACCATTCCATCCACAGCTGCTGCTCACTGGACCCTCCGCAGGCTGAATGCACTCCAGCTTGTTTTCCAGTCGCAGGCTCGCTGCTGTAAAATTCATCAGCTCATAGCTGCATCTGAAATCTGAACTTCAGTCTGAGAGAGTTTCAACAGTGACTCATAAAAACCAGCAGAGTGTATCTGAGATCAGAGTCTGAAGTTTAGCGTAACTTTAGCTTTACAGGGGGTTTTGATTTACTTTAAAATTCTTGATCATAACGAGAAATAGTAATATTTTATTTACAACTTTTGTTGTATTGGTTATTATAAAACTAGGATCACTGCCCTGTGGTTGTATGACTCCGCCCACCAGTCCAGTCTCCATCCACCTCATTCACCACGCTACTGAGAAATGGTCCTGAAGCCCCGACATAAAAAGTTATGTCGGGGCTTCAGGACACTTGGATCACTACGGACGAGCAGTATGGAGACATTTTGTGGTTTCAATGATGTGTTTTTGGACGTTTGAATCTGGGGCGCCGTCAGCCTCCATTAGGTGGAGTTGTGTTGCTACCTCCTCTCCCCTTGGATCTCTGCAAGTGATGTGAGGACTCTAAAACTTCACCTGAGCCTCCCTCGGCATATGGGTGAGTAGATAATGGCTGAATGTTCATTTTTGGGTGCACTATCCCTTTAACTGTATATTACTCCAGTGCTTAAATAAATCCACGTCATAATCATTTTAAGATTTAAGTCAAGTACTTAAGAAAAAAATCTCCAGTTAAGGGAAAGCTCTGCTGTGATATACAGTGATTAAATTAATGAACGTGTTACAGTGATGCTTTTGAATCTGAGGTCCAGTACTTTCTGATCAGGTATCTGACACATGGGGCCGATAATAATTATTATTATTATTAATAATATCATCATAACACAACAGTGATGTAGAAATCAGACTAATTTTAAAATATGCTGCTTTCGTCATTGTTTTTAAGATAATTGACTGAAACATTTAAATATTTATGAGACAAGTTTTTGGATTATTTAAGTGTTATATTAATCGAGTAAAAAAAAAAAAAAAATCTTCATAATAATGATAAATTAGTCATTAGATTCGTCCACTAATCAAAAACTGTGCAGCCCTACCTACATGAAACTGCTCACAACAAGGTCTGTGGATGATATTGAGTGATCAGGTCATGATTTCTGGAAAGAGACGTTGATGTTGAGTTTTTCAGATGAATATTTTCTGGTGCTTTGAGCTCCACAAGCTGAGTGACATCTAGTTCTGTTATACTGGTGAGAAGGCAGACATCTCTACGGCTGATATCTCAGCAACACTCTGCAATTCACACCAAAACTATCCAGACTGATAAACAGCTCTACAGGTAAGAGGAAGGATATGTGCTTTTGATTTGGGGCGCACTGTCCCTTTAAGAGTCTTTCAGGGTGGTCACATTCATTTTAGACAAACAATAAAAAAACTGCTTTTTCATACACAGTGTGTTTCACTGAGCAGGAGGACAATAAAAAGGACAGAACAGCCTCAAATTAAAGCTTCACACTTCACCCTCACAGTGTTTCACTTGTTTCACAGAGCTTGAGACCGACCTGTTGCGTCGAAGCAAAGGAAACAGAACTGTTGGTATTTGTCTCACAGCCATGGAGCATGAAGGAGAAAATCCCAGTAAGGAAAAACAATGGAGGTCGATGATGCATTAAAAAGCTTCTTTCTCAGTGCAGAACATCTTAATGTGTTTAAACTGAGGCACTCTCTTAATACCACTGCCTTCACTGTAGTTAACTGATGAGTTGGTAAAGGTTGGAGTCTTCTGTTGTTTAAATAATCCTCTGATGATGAGCTGTGGCTCCGCCGTGCGTCTTTGAAAAGGGTCATTACTCTGTTTGAGGGAGAGATGCTATAAGGGCGGAAAAACACCCATTAATCACGTCTTTGTTGTTTTGGCAGTCGACTTGTCGAGATGCATGGCGTGGATGTCAACTTTGACCTCCCGTGGAGTCGCTGCAGTGAAATTTACGAGGAGGCAGTACAGTGCAGGTCTGTCGCTGCGGTAATTCAAAGCAGCAGAAAACATGCAGCGTCGTTTTAACAAGCAGCTTATGTATGAGGTCACAAAAATGTACTGTCAGCCATGTTTAAGGGGGCATCCACTGAATCTGAATGGTTTGGTTTAGTTCACATGCAGGTGAGGACGCTCTGTCTGTATGGTCACATGAGTGCCCACGACCTCCTGTAAATAACAATAACCTGAAGAAAATACATGACTGCTGCAAACTGCTGTGTGCAGTGTGTAATTATTATAACTGAATATGACAGAGACCGACTAGAATCACTGCCCTGTGATTCTATGACTCCGCCCACCCTGTGGTTGTATGACTCCGCCCACCAGCCCACCCTGTGGTTGTATGACTCCGCCCACCAGCCCACCCTGTGGTTGTATGACTCCGCCCACCTGTCTACGTTTAGTCATGGACTTTCCACGTCCACATATGACGTCCAAGGTACCCTGGGTGTGTTGGTTGTTGACGTTCTGGGACGCTGTGTCAACTTCAGCCTGTTACATGCATTGTCTGTTTTCAAAATACACTTCTGTTTTCACAGGAAATGTACAGTTTGATACAGTCTCTTTCAAAATAAAAGCACTACATTGGTACAACACCACAGGTTTAAGCATACATACAAACTACCTACGTATACACAGATGTGAAAAGCTGCTTGTAATAATGCAAATATTGCACATAATTGAGATATTGTAGTCATGTAAATGAGATAGATGCAAGGTCATAGTGACCTTGACCTTTGACCACCAAAATTTTATCAGATTATTGATGAGTCTGAGTGAGCATTGGTGCCAAATTTGAAAAAAGTCCCTCAAGGTGTTCTTGAGATATGGTGTTCACGAGGGGGAGATAGACAGGTCACAGTGACCTTGACCTTTGACCTTTGACCACCAAAATCTAATGAGTGGAGTCCAAATGAATGTTTGTGCCAAATTTGAAGAAATTTTCTTGTGGCATTCTTGAGATGTCATGAAAACAAGAGTGAGACAGACAGATGGATAACCAGAAAACATAATGCCTCAGAGGCATAAAAATGTGGATACAAGCATCGAGCTGATTTCTCTCAGTCACTCTCAGAATAAATAATTGCTGAAAAATATTCTGAGGAGTACAAGAAGTAGGAAAAACTGATTGTAAGCAGAAATGTCCTTTAAAGAGCTGAACTTTGAACATGTGAATGGATTGTGTAGCTGACAGTGTGCAGCAGCAACAAACGTCCTACAGAAGAAGAAGAAGAAGAAGAAGAAGTCAGAATAAAAACAGAGAGCCAGAGGAACAATAAAGCGATCGCCCAGCGATGACATAATGAATTAGTTAGAGAGACGAGGGTGAAAGTTTCAGCGTGCAAGAGGATTTTGTGGGAATCATGAACGGCACTGAGCTGATATTAGGACCACAGCGCTCTGCTGAGAGTCATGAAGGGCCTGGAAACAGCTGGAAACATCCATGAGAATGAACGCAGCCTGAGAGGAGCTGCAGAGTCCAGCAGAGCTGCTGTCGGGGAGGATACATACGTGTAGAAGGTAAAGATTGGATGTACAGGAGAGGTGGACGTATACTGTTGATACTTTAAGGCCACACTCAAAGATTACATGTTAATACGTGTTAGAGATGTTTTCATGCCCCTCATTAAAAACCCAACAGACAACATTCACTCTACACAACTTCAGCTCCTGTTGTTGTGCAGAGCAAAAAGAAGAAGAAGATGCCTGCACACCGGTGATAGCTGTGGCCCAAAGCATTATGTCTTCAGGTTGTCTGTATGTCTGGCAGAATCTCATGAATGTGATCTCTCAAGAACATCTTATGCAGAATTTTTTTTTTAATTTGGCACAAATTCTTCAAGGATAGACTAATTAGGTTTCAGTCGTCAAATGTTACAGGTCACTGTGACCTTGCGTCCATTTCATGTTGCGAATCCGACATCTCAAGAAAGTCTTAAGGGAATCTCCTCAAATTTGGCACGAACGTCCACGCGAACAAATTAGAATTTGGTAGATGAAGGTCAAAGGTCATTGTTTTTGGCCATAACTCAGGAATACATACACCAATTCTGACCAAACTTGACACAAATGTACAACAGGATAAAATAATGAAGGTCAAAAGGTCAAAGGTCAGCTTGATTGTGACATCATCATGTTTTAACGTCATATCTCAGGAACAGAAGGGGAGACATTTGGTCAGATACTGAATTGGTGACTCTAATCTTGAAACTGTGCTAATATATATATATATATATATATATATATATATACACATCACAACTAGAGATTAAGGTGGTACAACAAACATGCTACGGCAAAGGGGAGCCAGGAGGACTGGTCACAGTGGGGATGACATCATCATCCCTACACCCCGAGATTGGGTACCAAGCCCCAAGCCCTTATGACACAGATTCCCTTACAGCAGGGGTGAAACCTGACACCCCTGAAGCCAATTACCAAGGCTAAGTGACAAAGTTCCCTCGCAAAGTCTGAAACTAGGACAGCTGATATACACCACAGCAACAGTGATCCTAGAGATGCCTGGCTACAAGATGAACGCCATGAGCCACGAAGAGTGCTACCCTCCATGGAGAAGGAGGCTGGAGGCCAAGATCAAGGCAACAAGGAGAGAGGTTAGTCAGCTCTCAGAGCTACAGAGAGGTGTGGGGAAGAAAGGGATACCTAGGAAGTAAAACAAACTGTCTATACCTGAGGCACTGGAGACTGCCGAGCAAAGGCTCACAGCTCTGGCTACCTGCCTAAAGAGATACACAAGAGAAGCAGAAGCCTGGAGAATATATATCTATGAAGTCTGAAGAGGCAAACATCAGACATGTTGCAAATACAGCCACAGTCTATCAAGATGATCTACATCTCCTCCTGTCTGCACAAAAAGCAGGAGTCTGTAAACTGTGATGGACTGTTTGGGTTCTAATCACCTTAGTTCTCTGCTCTAAATAAGTCTGGTTAACCTCGGGGTTGTATCTGAACCATCAGATCTGTTTGGTGACTCAAATCGTATCATAATCAGTGATGATCCAGAATCATTCAGCTGTCTCGTGTGCACCCATATAGTTTTAACCTGCTGTGTGAAAATATAACACTCCAGATGTGAACTTTAACCGTGAATGGACTCAGTGGTAAAGCTGTGCTGAGTAGAGTTTCCATGTCCCCTGATCTCTGCAGCACATCTCTGAGTAACACAGCAGAACTGTTACACAACCTGAACATAACCTGAATTTACCTTCAGGGCTTTTATGCAAACTGTCTCCTGAACTGGCCTCACAGCTCTGTTAAACCATTTGCCTCTCGTCCCTGTGGTCTAAGAAAAAAAAAGAGCATGTGCAGTTTGCTAATGTCAGCCTGAATTACTTCAGGTTAGAAGTCATGAAATTCAGATTTGACACTGATCCCTCATCGCCATTAGGAGCTGCCAACATACAAAACTACCTTGTGCAACTTTAACATGACGAGGATCCCCGGGATCCCCCGGTAAATACAAGAAACATCACTGCTTATCTGCTTCCAAAAGAATAAACAGCTCTGACTGGTTCTCTCTGAGCAGCTGTGTTTTATTCATCAGAGTGACAACATACATAAATCTCAGAAATATACACACACATGCAGTTCATTACCCAGGAGTGTGAAAAATGAAAAATATAACTTAACTGGGAAAACATTCATAGTTCTGTTATTAGACTGTAATGATGACTAACAACCACCAACTTTCACCCAGGAGGCCGGTGTTCATTTCCTGTAAGACTGTAAAGCCAAACCCTGTTCTTTTTTCTAAACGTAACCACGTGTGTTGGCTAAA